GTTCAAGGGGTATGAATACTTTTGCAAACCACTGTATGTATTAGCTTGGTGCTAGCGCGACAAACAAGCTAAACTGAGGTCCTCCATCTATATTTTCAATTGCAGGCTGAGTCATTTCTACCTTCTTCTCTCTGTCAACGGTTTCATGAGTCGATCATCAGATATTGTCCAAGATTAACCTTCAGGGTGGATATAGCTCGCTAGCAGCCTCGCACCGAGGACCTACCCACGTCATCATTTACCCAGAATGCTTTGCGTGTAAATAAAATGGCCCCGTTCATGTAGTATATTTTAAACTTTTTAGTTTAAAAATTATAAAAACTAAACATCCTACAGTATTTTTACAGTCTTTATTTTACAGTTAAACTATATGTTCATTAAATAAAGTCTAACGTTACAATTAATCGGGGATCCCTTTAAATATTGATATCGTGGTAATTTATCACAATTTAATGTGTTCAAGTCTAGAGTCTGGCCTTGATCCTGTATATACTGCCAAGTAAAACAACTTAGAAACTAAAATTACTTGTTAAAATGGTAAATGGTCTGAACTTTTATAGCACTAATGTGGTTTCACCTCATTAAATAAGTTTGGTTTGCGCTGTCTCTTTCAGTTTTTAAGCATGTTGTGTAAAATAACCCATCTCAGTTTTAAGACCCRAGGGCAGCAGAAGGGTTAAGTATGTTGTTTTTACACATTTTAATCATTATTCTTATTTATTTTCATTTTTGTGACATAAAGCTGTTCATCCTTGTAACAAGGATGATGTTAATCTTTACTTTGCTGAATAACAGTGAACCTGAAACATGTTCAGTTTCTCTTCAAGCCTCGTATTTATTATAAACTCTAAAGTATTTCGTCTGACTGCTGCTGAGCTGTGTAAAACACAGCGGGCCTATGCTGTGTAGCGCCGATAAAACTTGAGGAGTCAAAATAAAAGCTGACAATTCCATTATTAAATCATCATATCATGAGAATTACAATAAGAAAGAAGAAATAGAAACAAATAATAAATCTGGATTTGTGCAGTTTTCTTATTAAAGCACTAAGTATTGAGAAACCTAATTTCTTTTTAAGTGTGATTCACAGGAGCCCGACTCCCTTGTACATCATTAGTAGTTTTTCACACTTTTATGAAATCTTTTGAATTAATATTTTGGATCTTGTCTGTTTTTTCGTCTCAGCATATTGGATGCTCAAAAGAAAATCAACAACAACAAATAAAAACTGCGATAGCTAAAGAGTTTTTCACAAAACTATAGGAGCAGAATTTAAGTACAGCTAAGAAAAAACATGACTCCAATGTTACGTTTACATTAATTAGACTATCACTACTTACATCTGCTCCAAAAACATTAGTGCTACCTGAATATTAACACTTCCAACACATTACAGAAACACAATGTGTTTGTTTTTGCCAAGTTGTACTGTAAACATTTGTTTGTGGGAGGAAGTCTTTCTGTTTCGCCCTGACAGAGCTCGTCTCTGTGCCACCTGTTGTTCCCAGCACTGATTCAGCTAAACATAGATTGTTTCTTCTTTTAGTTCTCTGTGACTTTTCAGGCCTTTGGCTTGACGTTAATGTCAGGAAAGCAGTAGTGAAAAAACAAAACAAAACAAAGCACTCAAATGAGCGGTCACAGTGCTGCAGAGCAGCAGGTGGCAGAAGGTCAAAGGTCCTATGAAAAAACAGGAGTGTAATTACGAGTCAAAGAGTTCAACTGAAGCAGGTCTGGGTGCAGCTGAAGAATTATTTGTATGGATTATTTTGGGTTTAGTCTTAATTACTGTATTTAACCATTTGGAATGATATCAGTGGAGTATTTTGTGTTTTGCAAATTCTATTAAAATTGCAAAAACGCAAACAACAAAAAAAGTGTAAGAGAATCCGATGATGTACAATAAATGAGTCTTGGCAACCATTATATTATATTTTTACCCATAGTTTTTTTTTATTTTCTTACAGTTAAGACCAATTGTGCTACTGTCAATTTATTTTTATTAGTGAAAGTTTATTTAAGATCTTGACAAAAATGAAATATGAGATRAAACATGATGCAAAGAGTAGGGATGTTAAGATTCACTCAAGCCCTGGTTCTATTCGATTATCCATTTAAGTCAACAATTACAATTGTTTTTGATTTTATTTTCCATCCATCCATCCATCCATCCATCCATCCATCCATCCATCCATCCATCCATCCATCCATCCATCCATCCATCCATCCATCCATCCATATTGTTTGACATAATTAATAATAACAAAGACACTCACCACTTTTCTCCAAATAGTATCTGGCTTCCATCAACAGGCGACCCTGTGGCTTCATCTCCAACTGTGATAAAATGAAACAAAACGTAAACATGAAATAAACATTATACTTCAGGGCAGAACTCTRTCATAAAATTATATGTAGATTCAGACGAATGAAGATGAACAAGCTTAGTGTGATGCACTGAGACAGACTCACTGTCTACCAAGATAAGCAGGTCGGAGAGATATATTTGATTTAAATCATCTGTTTACTGTGTTTGTTTGTTTGATTCTCAGGAAGAAAAGACAGTTGGCACAAAGCTGCTGATGTAACTCAAGTCATTCTTTCCACAGAAATGACAATCTCCACTGCACTGGAAGTCATTTATTTGTTTATTGGCTTAAATTTGTTTAWATGTAATTAGGCTGAACATTGATTTCATGATATACCAAGAAAGATATGAAGATATAAAAAGAAAGATACAAGCTCTTTCATGTACTTTAACACATCAGAGCAGTTCTCTCTGTCCCTGAATGTGCTTTTACTTCATCAGAAAGATTTAATAATTGATTGCAAAAAAAAAGAGAAACAGGAATTAAATACGATTATAACCATCACGAAAGAGGAAAATACATTACCAGGTTTTATTTTCACTAAATTGGCTGCGTGTGTTGCTTACAAAAACAAATATTATTATTCTTAATGATCATCTTTTTAAGCCATTCTTTGCCTGTGATTTTTGCYTTCAGCCTACTGTACATATTAAGGGTGTTCGTACTGAACTGTCAAAGCACAGATGTTTTACCTTGAAGTACACAACAAAAACATGAACAGTGAGTTATTTTTCTTATGTAAAAGTAGATTTACCCCTTTTACTAATTTAACCTTTTGCCCCCAAAGTGAGCTATCTRAAATATAAAACCCGAGGACAAACTCTCAGTTCTGCTGCACTAACCCAAATCTCCAGTTTGCCGTTCTCCTTCTTGCATCGTGTTGCGAGAGAGTCCAAAGCCACTGTGGCCTCTGATTTGAGCTCTGCCGTTCGGTCCTTCACCATAATGTGCATGATGCGCCCGCGGTGGACATGGGCGTCGAATGTGGTGCTCCACGGTGGGTACATGGTGGGCTTCTTCTGCTTGTACACCTGACCCTTCTCTGTAAAGGCAACAGGAAATTAGTCTTATGAGCAGGGCTGTTCTGAGGTGTTTTCTAAACAAAACTGAAGTTCAACTGTAATATTGTCCAGATTTTATA